CTAAGGTACATAAACTTTTCGGATTGACTGTATAGCCAATACATCCTTAAATGTCCCGGTACAGTCCAAGTCTTTTATCTTTACATCCGTGTCGTTAGTCACGTGTTGTTCAAAGCGAGAGGAAAAGTTACATCGGAACGAGGAGCCTTCGGGTCGCACTTCAGGATACACGCACGCGTGTGCTATATGCGGGCGCGATTCATACCACGCGTTGTAATTACACGAGGCGCGCGAAGGCTGGGGCTCCTAACACGTTAAAGACAAGATCCCGTGGCAGCGATACCGGGAATTCAATGAGTTAACGTCGTCGGTCCGCGCGAGTGATTCGGAGCGTGTTACCGGTGGCCGCACACGCGGCGTCCGATTTATAAATAGAAACGCGGCCGTTCCAGGCCGCGAGGCTCGATCTCCTTCTGGAAAACCAATTCGGAACTCTGGATTGTGTCGCTGAATATCCCCGGGGCTGCTCCGCCGCCGCTTTCAAACAAACCCGCCGCCGGACCCTACGTAAAGCCCGGCGCGCGTTTCGTAACGAGGATGCAGAAACACGGGAAGCCATTAACGCCAATTGTGGTTTCATTAATTCTCATCCGCGCATTTCGCTGGCCCTAAGGTGACGGCCGATTCGGGAACCCGTTCCTCGGGACTCGGACCGGCAAGGTCGACGCTTCAGCGTGTACAGCGTTCTTTTTTTTCCCCCCCAACGGTGAATTAATGCACTCGGTGCTGGCCGGAATCCCGAAATCGTTCGGGTGGCTCGGCTTCGGCTGAGAGTTTAATTGGGATGTGAAATATACTTGGTAAAGTTCCCTTGGGAGCAGAGGATGTTGTAAATATGTCCGTGGCATGGAATTTGTAGGTGGGACGCTTTTTAAGCTTGCGGAACGACGTTTGAATAAAATTATTTTAATGTTGTTCTATGAATTTTGCATGCAGTCTCTTGTAGCGACCACGCGATACACAGTAAAGATCCGACGAGATAAACACATAGGTAGGATGCGCGATGATGAAATTCCGCGGGAAGAGAAATTTTACGACTTCCACGGAACACTGCGACGGATCGTAAGAGCGCCAAATCCCCGTGTGCCCGCGCTTCCATCGCACAATCCGACTTTCCATCGCGAATACATCAGTCGATAGACACATATACATCTAACCCTTTTTTTATGCGATTGTAAAGTTTCGTGGTTTCCATTAACTCGATTTCTTCGGAGTTGCACGATTTTTTTAAAACGATTTGTACGATCTGTTTATCAGACTGTATTAAGAATAATATAATAATAATGTACCATCACGTAACATCGAATATTCGGAATCATAAAACATTTTAGACCCCGCATGTTTCATTGAAGAAGAATTACATTTGGCAGATAAGTTTTGCATATTTCTACTAATCAATATTTGCATGATTTTCCTTGTCTCGGTACGCTTTCACCGTACAAAAAGAGGATCAGGTGTATATCTATAGTCGTTTAAAACCGCAAAGCTTCGAAACGGGAGATCCCATATTACACGCGTCTCCGGCAGCCTTGAAACACCATCCATCTAATCCGCGTGACAATCCACGAAACCATCAATCATCTGAATTCGTCCGAGCCACAAGCAATTAAGCTTGCTCGTTTCCTTCTCTTTCTCTCTCTCCTTCTCCCCCTCGATCACTCGTTCGACTCCCTTCTGGTGTTCCCCGTTAACGATCGCCGCTCAGTTTCCGGTATCGATCGACGACATTGCCGAATCCGATAAGAACCCGATAAACGTGAATTCCACGCGAGTCGGAGGCGCAAGCAGTGTCAAAGTCAAAGCGTATCCGGCTACCAGTTTGCGCGTTCGTTATACGTGTACCCAGGGCGTTGGCTGCTGCGCACCGTGGACTCAAAGACGACGTAATTGCATCTCGTGCGCAATATACGCTACTTACGTATCTCTTAATTAATTCGTGCCTCGCCCCCGCCCGGTAATTATTTCCATATCGCCAGACACGTACCCCCGTGACCCTCCTGCGTCGCCAGCGACGACGTCGACGACGCTGGAACTCGAAAACGACGCGTGAAGAAACTACAAGACGTATGAGAATATCGAACACTGGCATCCCCGCCGCGGCTTCGTCAGTATTAATTATCGTATACAAAATTTAGAACGTGTAGAATAGAAATATTTCATGAAGAAAACCAAATCGCTATCTGATGGAACTTCAAAGACATTAAGGATTTTTTACAGTTTTCCACCCACTTAGTAGATGATCGTGATAGAACAAACGCTTTCTCTTTAAATAGTAATAAGATTTCCGAGCTCGCCGTCATCGTTACGCGTTTTACTCAATTTTATTCATAATCAATTAACGCGACAAGGATATTCGTGGGAAGCGGAGGCAGAGGAAAGACAACAAAGGGAAACTTATCATCGAAAGATAATTATATTTTACGAGCTGTGCCCCCGTGTCGCCCACGAGCTCGCTAATCAACTGATGTATTATTAGCCAAGCTGATTTCGTTCACAGCAATCGTGTCTGTTTTTAGAGCTCGCTGAACAATCGACGCGAATCACTCAGGAATTTAGTAGTAAGAATTATTTATCAAAGTTCTTCTATTTTCAATGATTTCCAGGGGTATATGCATAAATGAAAAGAGACTATAAATTCAATATTCAAATAATAAAGTGCAGAATTCACTGAATACTTTCTATACATTTCAATAATAGAATTGCATACATTTTAATTATCTTATTAAACTTCAGTGATTGATTCAATTTATATTACTCCATTGTGTAGAAAAATGTTTATTAAACAAATAGTTGTCCTTGATGGAGAATCTTGGAGTGCAGTGAATCAATTCACGAGGTAAAGGCCAGGACTTCAGACGTAATGCACCCTGAATACTAAATGTTGAAATTCTTTATTTATCGCAATGAAGGGTGTTCTGGTTTTGCTTGCGTCACCGTTAATGCACCCTGGGTGCTTCGCAACCTTAGCCGCCATCTGTTATCATATCTCAGAAATGCTTTACATTCGATTATTGCAGTTCTATTTTTAATAACAATCTCTGAAGGATACTTCAGTGGAAATGTGTTCGCCGGGTAAAAAGACAAACGTAATCAATATTTAATATATATAGATATGTGTATCCATTCTATCGTTTATTCGACGGATGCAGATACAAATTCTTCAACTTCGTATACATTTACATAATGCATATTAATTGCATATGTGCAATATCGTTCGCTTACGAAATCATATATACGTATCTATATTCTTCGTATGCTGGTATCGTTGGATCAGGTTCGATTATAAATAACGAATTAAATTGGAACGCATCCTACGGGCCGCCTATTATCACAATTAATCGGACTCACGTCACATTCCGGTGGCCACACCTTCGACCACGTCGAACGAACGGGATACGTCCGTCCCGGTGTGCGAATGTAATATGTACATTTCAATTAGGTTAACGTCGCTTTAGAATCGAATGAATGATCTCGATTAACATTATTAATCGCCTTAAGTAATCGAACGAGCTTGATCATTCTCTCCTTCGTCTCGGGAGAGCGTCGATGGAAATGGAAAGGAAAAACGTGGAGAAGCGTGCCAAAAGTTCTCCGTCGTGGATCGATCGATGACCGCGTAATCCGAGTAGCTTTTGAAATGCACGGATACAATAATTACTATCGTTGTATCAATTATGAAGGCGAAAAATAACTCTTTTCTTTAATTTAATATCCACTACGTGATTTTTACATCGGATACGTGATGTAAGAATCGTGAAGAATCAATTCACGAGGTAAAGGCCAGGACTTCAGACGTAATGCACCCTGAATACTAAATGTTGAAATTCTTTATTTATCGCAATGAAGGGTGTTCTGGTTTTGCTTGCGTCACCGTTAATGCACCCTGGGTGCTTCGCAACCTTAGCCGCCATCTGTTATCATATCTCAGAAATGCTTTACATTCGATTATTGCAGTTCTATTTTTAATAACAATCTCTGAAGGATACTTCAGTGGAAATGTGTTCGCCGGGTAAAAAGACAAACGTAATCAATATTTAATATATATAGATATGTGTATCCATTCTATCGTTTATTCGACGGATGCAGATACAAATTCTTCAACTTCGTATACATTTACATAATGCATATTAATTGCATATGTGCAATATCGTTCGCTTACGAAATCATATATACGTATCTATATTCTTCGTATGCTGGTATCGTTGGATCAGGTTCGATTATAAATAACGAATTAAATTGGAACGCATCCTACGGGCCGCCTATTATCACAATTAATCGGACTCACGTCACATTCCGGTGGCCACACCTTCGACCACGTCGAACGAACGGGATACGTCCGTCCCGGTGTGCGAATGTAATATGTACATTTCAATTAGGTTAACGTCGCTTTAGAATCGAATGAATGATCTCGATTAACATTATTAATCGCCTTAAGTAATCGAACGAGCTTGATCATTCTCTCCTTCGTCTCGGGAGAGCGTCGATGGAAATGGAAAGGAAAAACGTGGAGAAGCGTGCCAAAAGTTCTCCGTCGTGGATCGATCGATGACCGCGTAATCCGAGTAGCTTTTGAAATGCACGGATACAATAATTACTATCGTTGTATCAATTATGAAGGCGAAAAATAACTCTTTTCTTTAATTTAATATCCACTACGTGATTTTTACATCGGATACGTGATGTAAGAATCGTGAAAAGAAGTGATAGAAGAAAGAAAAGAATAAAAGAAAGAATCGTTGTGGCTCCGGTCCAACAAACAACGGTACAATCTAAACCGTGCACCGTTGTACTGCATCCGAAAACGCATGAACACTATCGAGGTCTGAGTGCTCTGATTACTTAGGTAAACAGCAGATTTCCAGCTTTTGTAATAACACGTATGTATCTACTGTACATTCATTTATTTCGAATTTCTCACGCAAATGAATGTGCAATTTGCATTGCGAAAGAAACGGGTGATTAATCATTTGGCCAAGGATCGTGAAATAGAAATGCCAATATTTGTTTCAATTCGTTTATTAATCAGAATTTAGTCATTTTTACAATACATTACTGCGCTTAAATTCGAGACAACTATATAAATCCAGCAGTAGCATTCCATTCAGAGGATGCGATGTTTTACCGAATACAAAAATATGTAAACGCTGCTCCCGAGTATTGACGATTCGGAAAAACTACCGAAATGGTGAAAAAACCACATCGCCTGAACGGGCTGTTACAACGCATGATTCAAATGATTCTTACAATACAGACGTATACAGATATTACGTTGTGGGGTGAATGTGATGTGTCCAAATCAAATAATATTGTGAAACATATGTATGTTCACATGATTACTTCATAATGTAAAATATTTTATTTCCTACATACAACTGTTTTAATTTGTCTAAAAAATCATAATTTAATTGTATAAACTAAATAGTATATGTTAAACTAAGATTTTGGAAAGTGCATCGTTCGATACGATATTTAATATCTAGCCAATAACAATCGAAACGTTAAAGAATTTTTAGATCCCTTTCGCTCTCTTCATTGTAATACTGTTCTTTTCATCGTAATTATAGTATGACTCGGTTGATGGGAAACGAGGTATCTATTAGCTTGATTTCCTCAAACATTACTGAGAATGTTTCACAATTACAACTGTACTACTTCATCATTAATTGATTGATCCCAAAAATATACGTGTACTCTTTCCCATTACGATACATGAGTAATCCCGTGCAGCAGGGCTCCAGCCGCATAACCGGAAACGACGCGTAAACCATTGCCAAACCGATGTGACACGATGTATCGTGTCCCGTCCACAAATCTACGCGCGGTTCAACAGCCTAAATCCAACGTGTAACGCGAAAGCGAAGTCAAACATCGATCCTCAATTACTGGCGGATCTGTTGCCGCTTTCCATCGAGCCTTGTCGAATAGCCTCCCCCCTCAAAATCGCCCCCTGCGCGATCCCGTAATGCTCGAACGGGTCTTTCCCGTAGAAAACTGTTTCCTCGATTTTGTGATTTTTCTGTTTCGGCGGGGTGGACGTCCTGGCCGGCGTAGTGGTCGGGCTGTTTTTCGGGGTTAACATTTTATTGGGAGTGGACGAAGGGCTGTTCTTCGGTGTTAAATTAACGTTAGCAACGGGATTACCGTTATCGCCGGGATTCATCCCCTGCAACACGTTGAAGCTCTGCATGACGAGATGAGACGCGACGGACATCGTCAGCGGATTCGTCTGCGCCAAGGGAGCCGGTCCAGTTTTCTCATTTCTGGTCACCGGCAAAGCGTTACTCAATTGATTCTCCACTCGAACCGCCGCCGTCGCCGCCACCACCGCCGTTGCCGGCGGCGGCATTACCGCGGATTGATTTTCTACTCGAGACATTGATTGCGTCGCGGATCGATGCTCCGCTCTCGGGGTCGAGCCTTCGCCCCGAGCGGATTGGTCGTCCGGCAACGATGACCTCTCCGCGGATCGACCGATCGTTGGATCCGACTGCGCCAGGACCGCGGTCGAATAGCTCCTCTTCGCGGGATCTGCTCGACTTCCATTTAATACCGGCGAGCCCGGAAACGGAGCGGTTTGCGAACGATGCTTCCTCGTGGGTATCTGCGGACTCCTCGGCGAGCTCCGTTCGTCCAGCTGCGAGACCGTCTGCTCTTTGAAATCGCGGGAGTTCGCCCGTTCCACGGTCCTCTCCTCCCGCAAATTCGACTTGGACCTCGTAGAATTCTCTTGGGAATTGTTCGGCGTAGAATTATTCACGACCTGACCGTTCACCATCGACTTCTGTTCCTCGACAGCTTCGGTGTTCACAGGTAATTCGAGCGGCGGCACGACGTTCCCGTTAGTCCCGTTCTTCATCGACGCCCAGTTCGGATCACCGTTGGGAAAACTCGCGAATCTGGCGACGGTCTCACGCTCCTCGGCCACTTGTGGCGCGAACGGAATCCTCCTCTCCGTAGGCTGTCGTTTCACGGGTTGTCTTTTCCTCGGTGCCGAAGGATCCGATTTCCTTCTGTGCCTCCTCGATTCGCTTTGGATGACCGGTCGCGTCTCGGGGAAGTGTCTCCCCTTCATGGAGCTAGGCTCCTCGTCTTCGTCCTCGTAAACGCGTACGTCCCCGTTCAAATCGGACTCGTCCTCCTCGTATTCCTCGACTATAGTGCTCGCCTGAATCCACTCTCGGATACGATCCTTCTTCTTCACTCTGTCGACGGTTGTTTCAATCCCGTACGTGGTCAGAGTGTGAAGCAGTTGATTTTTTTCCTCGAGGGAGCTGTGGAAACTGTACATCGACGGGCACAGCTCGTCCCTCTCGTCGGCGCCACCTGTGCGAACGTCGATATCAATGAGCTACAGCTAGAAAGAGAACGGAGTCTTTAATTGGGATCGATCGTTACCGTTCATGGCCTTCTCCGCGCCGAGTTTCGCTAACCACCTGTCCTCCAGGTATTTATTCACTTCCAACACGCTGACTGGTCGTTTTTCGGCCTTAGGGTCCAGCAATCGCTTGAACATTCTTAAGAATAATTATGAAAATTGGTACAGATATTTAAATCTAGAATGATTACATTATGTAACACATTTTTTTTTTGTAATATCCATTATGTGATTTTTATAATTTCTCATGACAAAATCCGGAAGCAGAAATTTTCCATCATATACCATTAACGAAAAACAACGGTTCTTGTAAAAATGCATGATGTATAGTGTGCATGTAGTCTATTAAAAGATATGAAATATCAAAAACTGCACGAGGTTTCACGATCTTGCTACGTTTAATGACTCTGTTTACCCTGAGACAATAAACGATTTGACTTAGGGGTTGCTCGCGTTCACTCGTTCGTCTGCTCAGTTCGAAAACAAACCGGTGTCAGAATGGAAACATTTCTCGGTATTACTCTTTACGTGACTTCGCGATAGAATCCGTTACACGCTGAAGCGTGTTGATTGTTTTAATACGCGGAATCAATGCACGCTTCTCTATTCATGAGCTTCCCCAGTACATTCACATGTCTCGCTGTTTATGGCCCTTGAATAAAAACGATGACAAAAGACTGAAATTTTAACAGCTATTATATATTAAAGCTGTGTGAAATTTTAGGAATTTTGGAAGGCAAAGGAGCTATCTTGAATTCGTTGATTGGCAAAATTTCGATTTCATTCATGAAGATTTTTACAATGTTCTCCATTCGAATAAACCCATTGGAATGTCTATGAAAATATTAATGATACACAAAAATGTATTAGACAGAAGTTACATAATTTACGGGAATAAATCGTTTGGTGAGAGTTCGTTTCTTGAAATATTGAACATAACTTTTCGCCACATTCCTTAAACTGTTGGCAGAGATCTTACGTCTCACACAATCTTAATCAGAGTTTATTACTATTTTTTTTTTATACAATATTCTATTTTCAATTTAAGTCATGAAAATTGCCATCAGTTCGTAAGTGAAAAATCGCGAGTTATTAATTTCGTTCTCCGATGCCGAATTTGGTTCCATAGAAAAACGGTCCAGCGATAATTAAGATTAATCTGGCGCTTGGTTAGAGAGACTGACCTCTGTGCCCGTGAGCTGATCAGCTGAAATAATTTCGGTTTCTTGGCTATGTTCAGCGTAGCGTTGTGCCAGTTTAGATATCGGGTGTAACGCGGGTCGTCCGACGCCGCCTTCTGCCACGGCAGGCATCCGGTCAGACAGACAAATAGGACAATGCCGAATTGCCAGACATCGTGCGAAGTGAGCGCTCTGTAAATCGCGAAACGTAAATAAGTTCCACGCGCGCGTGAATATTTTCTCATTCATGATCGCACGGAACTCGCGAGCATCAGACGAGTTAACTTCCTCGTTGCCCGATCTGAATGGAGGAGACGTCAACCGAGCCAGTCTCAATGAACAGATCAATTTCACGATTCTTATCATAGTTCATTATGCATTTTTTTCTTCTTACGTAATGTCAGAATTTATGTCGCGTAAAACAGCTCGTCAGGCGCTCCATTCATCATTCTAAATCCGAGAAGGCTAACTCGGAGGCATTGTCGATCGATCAAACGTTTACGGTCGAATTACACGAACGACAGGTCGTGCGTGAATGTTAACCCAAATATTTCTTCCGTACGTGATCCCCGAGCCAATTCCGAAATACCATTTCCCAGAAGATATTAAGACGTCGAAACGAGGACTCTAAATTTAATGATCAACCCAATTCCGGACGCGACGATAATTATTGATAATGGCCAATCGCATAATTACTTGTACGTCTCGTCAGTGTCGATCTGCAGTACCTCGGGCGGCGAGTACGGCAGCCACTCGTTGTGTCGTCGCACCACGGTGTTCACCCGCCTCGTTTCACCGAAATCGCACAGTTTGATCCGCGAGAAATCGCTCCTGAACACGAGGACGTTGTCTAGTTTGATGTCGCGGTGTACCAACTCGCGGCTGTGAATATGGTGCACCGCCGCGGCCAATTGCTTCGCCACCCTCTTCGCATGAAACTCGCCCAACCCAGTCTCCGTTACGTTCGACGTCAAGTCACCTGAAAAGATAGAATATAATACAATTTATTCTGCAAGGAATAGAAACGTCATTGAGACGAGACGGGAAGAATGGGAAATACGACTTGAGAAAGTCATCGGAGAATAAAAACGGAATTTTCAACAGGCAATAATTCATTGTTTTATGTTCTTCCTATTGAGAACCCTTCGCATCAAATATTCCATTATCTCTCACATCTGAGGCTCATAGAACATCACTCTCAGCGTGCATGCATAACGCATAAGTGTCTGTCTTCGCGCGTTAAAATCCAATACGCGATAAAAACAGGGAAACCCGACGTGCATACAGTAGTGGACGAGAGATTCTGTTACCCAACGGAGCGTATTCCTGACTGAAAACGTAGAACCCGGCAGTCTCGAATGCTACGTCGTAGGTGGTGATGATGTTCCTATGCGCGGCCAAATGCAGGCCATAATGGAACTCGCGAAAGAAGTCCGAGAGTCCCGTGTACGCCTTCGGCAGTGCCTTCAATACCATCTCGGTTTGGGTGCTCCGATGCTCGGTCAGCAAGATCTTGCCGAACCATCCCTCGCCAACGATCTGCAGAATATCGAACTCGTCGATCAGGTTTACCTGTTTACAACATAAGAGATCGCGTGGTTTAGTTACATCGGACAGACTCGTCGACGACAGCTGCTTGTCGAGGAAACGATGAACGAGAGGAATTTATTTTTAATTCGACGCACGGACATGATTTCTATCGCGAGATCGACGGATAACGCACTTTCAAAGACGAAGGATTTTTCTTAAGCGACCAGAAGCCTGGCCAAATGGGCCTATGAATCCGGTGCATAATTTAACGTGGCGCGTCGTAAACGTCGTCCACGGAATCATCGAACGGTCCTCAGTGGAAACATAATACGATCGTAAATTATCGAATGTGTAATCGAATTCACGATTCGTTGATCTTGATCGAAAAAGCTTCGTCATTTGGACATCGCGAATGTCCGTTGTTTCGCTGCCTAATTGCAAGCGCCAGGATTTTATTATAGCCGAAAGTTGAAATCAGATAACTGGCCGGTTTTAAACTGACTGACCTGTTTTGAAAATTGTCGCCTGCTGCTCTAGTTAAAACGTAAGTAATCGTGTTAACATTATTTTTCCAAGCGAAAGCAATTCGCACCGTGTGTTTAAAAAAATTGAAAAGGAAGACCGTATTCAACCCGTGACACGTTTTCCTCCATGAACTGAGTTCTAGATTCTTGATTCTTATAAAAATCATTAATATAGTAAAAAAATAATCGCATCGGGGTTGTCGTAGGGCCGTGCTGCGTCATTTGTACAAAATTTGTGCCGATGTGTAATAAGCTATGATTCGCGTCGTGCAGTGTCATAAAATAGGAATCAGTCGAGTTGGTTTAGTGCCAGCCAACGAAGAGATCGTCGTACGGTTTCAATGTAAATGCACGTACGACCACTATTTCTGGACAGTCAACAGTCACTCGTCGCTGGAAACGTGGCTAGATGAGTTATGCGACGACTAAATAATAGTTAATAACTGCTTAATCTCTAAGCCGTGAATGCATATATCAATCATATACTGGGTGTACCACGAATTTTGATTAACTCAGATTATCCTGCTGTTAACGTTTCATTTTATACCTCTTCTCGAATCACGATTGAACAGCAGAATAATCTAAGTTAATCACGGTACATAGTCCATCTTGTACATCTGGCGCTACGAAAGTAATATCTATAAATTCTGTGGATAAAATTTGGGCTTTGTTGTCTCGAAGCTTGTTGATTCCGTTCGTGATTCATTCGTTGTCGGAGGATTGCGGCCAAGAATGCGATCTTTTGTTTGATGTTCGCTTAAGGAGAAGCATCTTCTTTTCGTTGGTACAGGAATAGTGCCAAATATCAAATTCTTTATTTAGTCTCTTTATAGAAGAATCAAAACCGACGAAACAAAAGCTTCGTCGGTAGGATGCATCAAGCTGAAATCTGTTTTAATTGGATATAAATTTTGAGTGAATATTCAATGATCGGATCAATTTATTATGCGAGAAATATATGAATGTGTGATAGGTGTTTCATCAGAATTCGTTAAATTTAATGAAAGAGCCCAATAATTAAATTTTGTTGAATATACGGATGTGCAGCATCCAATAATCATTTTATTCATGCTATTCCAAATTTTAATGGATCCATGCCGTTCTACCTTTTATTCAATTAAGGCGATTTAAAAATCATATTACATACACGCTGCCAGTGGACCAGGTGGAAAGGATTGCCAAAACGAACGCTAAACGAAGGGTAACGGATCGTATGAGACGATTCTGTTTCGGCAACCGAGTACGTACCTTCTCGAGCTCGAACTCTCGTATCCTGTGAATGGACCCGCCGATGGCCTTCTTCATTAAACTCATTCTGACAGATGGTGGTCGTTCCTGCACCACGGGCTCGAATTCGAGCCAAAAGTCGCGTTCAACTGTCCGATGTGGTCGACGTAGAGGTCACGAATCTCACATCCTGTCATTTCGCGGTGAACGCTCCACGTTGCCGTCGATCAGCTTTCAATCTCCCAAGAAATCAATGAGTCTTTATTCTAAAATCGATCGAATAACCAGGACGATCATTTGTGTAATTTACTCGATCACATCTTTGTTAAAAATGCCAGAATCTCCAGCTAGTTAATCTTCACTTCGTTTATGTAAATCGTGTAGAATTAGGAACTCTATGCAGCCTGGCGAAGTTTTGTAGCGAATTGATCCCGTCGGGAATTAAACCGTTCGCCGATCGCAATGACGTGGCTGGGTGGATGGTAGGAAAAAGTTTGCCGAAAGCCACTTAAACGGCGATCACGTGCTCGCCGCAAAGCGAGAGCGTAAGTTTTAGATAATGCGCCCTTTGTACCGACGTCGCGGGTGTTACAAAGCTCGTAAGTGGCGCGGCCGTTCATGAATGAGGATAGAGAGAGCCGGAGAATGGCTGGAAAAAGGAAAATGTTTGGTGAATGACGCTTTGCGTTTGGAAGGTCTCTTCTCGACTCGATGGAAAAAGATATTTCGAACCGCGGGGGCGTATCGCGTTACCGAGTCGTGAAAAGAATCGTGCCACGCGTCGTTCCATGTTCAATGGAAAATGCGTTTTCGCGATGCGAAGAGGTGCACAAGGTTCCTCGAAACCTTGAATAAAGACAATAACGAGACATCGAAATTTTCATAGTTATTAGATATTAAATATCCACATTAACGAACAAATTTTTAAAATAATGCAATTAAAAAAATTGTATTTTAATACTGAAGTATTTTGGAATCATGGATCATTATCTATGGAAATATTAAAATTAGTATGCTCGAACTCTGCAGATTAAAACCATAGAGTTTCTAACTCTATGATTAAAACAAACGCTGAAATGCTCCCTAATGATTGCAAAAACAATGCAATGAATTTTTGATGAATTTTCTTGACTAAAAGAAGTAGTGTTGGCTGGGTATTCGAACGAGATCGTCGTCTATGGGAGTGCACGTGTCGCGGATAAAAATAACGTCACAGATTCCTGGCTACATAATTTATAGTTGTATATTATTCTCTCGAGCTAGTTGTTCCAGTTTGTAATTTCACGCGAGCGGCTATTCCTTCGCTAATAATGGAAGTTACATGCAGTTTCGATACGTTATAGTTGCGCAAGTTGGAACCGAAGAAAATGCCGTCGCGAATCCCGACTGACGCGTACGTATCTACATCCATTCGCCAAATTCTGTTGACTATATCGTTTACCTGACGACTGAAGTTCTTTCTCTAAAATGTTTTGATCTATTTACAAGTACGAGGAGATATTTCTCAATAGGATCGATGTATGTATATAATATAATTTAGGGAAATTGTTAGATAGTTTATATATCAATTATCGAGGTAAAGAAACAATCAATAGTATCATTTTTTATCTGATATCTAAAGCAATTATTCAAAGTCTAAATTGGTATCTAATTAGGGTAAAATTTACGGGCCTCGTAATCGGTAGAATTGATCGATGATCATTGTAAGTTGACCACTCAGTAACTTTCAAATATGTTCTGTGTTAATTGGCCTGAATACCGTACCTAAAAAATGTTAAATGAACTCGACACTGCGAGATGATCTTCCTCGAGCAAAAAACGAGCTGGCGCCTCAGAAACGGTATAACCCTTATCGCACTTTCCCGAGACACAGACTACTTATCACTTTCCCTCCACGAACATACGCTCGTCACCAATTTACATTTCCTTCTACAACTTTCGATGCACTGACTCGTACCCGTTCGCACTTTGGCAGCATGTTCCGAGAATTCTCTCGGCCAAACCTGGGACACAATTAATCTGCGGGAATGTCACTAGCACCTTTGACTCGGTCTGTCTCCGAGCAATCGCCCGTTCCGTCTAAACTCTCACCTGAAGGCGAGTTAATTGTGATAGTTTCCTCGAAGCGGTGATCGAGACGCAGGGCACGTTCGCTAAACCCGTAAACCGTGTCCGCCGGGATTTGTGATTTTACAGCGACTCCCGTGTTCCCCGTACTCTTCGACTGTCTGCAGTATTTATAAAACACCGACCGGAAAGCGCGGCTGGCGAGCTGATTTTGGCGCCGAGCCGGCTTGGCCGCGCGCTGACGCCTCGGCGCGTCGCGTCGTCGTCTTCGCGGACGATCCTCGTTCTCGTCGATCGCGCAAAGAACTCGTGCGGCTTTCATTAAAAACTGTGAACTTTATAAAAGGAATACTTGTCTCTTCGAATGTTAACGTGATAAGTAGTCGAGTTTAGAGTTTTTGTTATTCCCATTTTATGTACCGCGGGTGTGAATGTTAAAATATTATATTCGAGATAAGTGAGTTTCGAACGTTTTTATGTATAAAACGTACAGATAATCACGTGCTAAAGGTGGCTGGACGCGTAATTTCCAATTCCGGGAAATTGATCCGTCTGCGTCGCGACGCGATGAGATTCCACTGCGTTTTATGGGACCGATGACTAATTCGCGAATTATTTTCATGTGCAGGAGCGTTTAAGCTTCAGGGTAGAATGGTTCACCGTTGGAAATACGCTACTAAAAATCAAGTGTTATTTAATTACTCCCAGGTGTTTAAAAAATGTGATAAAAAGTTGCATCCGATATTTGAAGGGATGAGCTTTCAGAAAAAATGATATTTGCAAAGAAGTAAGGTTCCTGTGATTTATTTAAATTTCACATATGGAGAATTGATAATAGTGATTAGGATTATATTTTCATTTTGTAGTTCTGTTCTATTCATTAGAGGTAAATATTTGAAATTCTTGTGCAATTAATTTCTTCATCTGCTACGGACACCTAACAACATTTCAGCGAACAGCTTTCTCTTCTCGTTTCAGTCGCGGCACATCTTTTTAACTCAATTGATAACTCTAATTCGTTATGCTTTAAATTAATCATATGTATTTTACAAAATAATACATTGGTGTTATAGGACGTATATATATATCATTTTACATTTATAATTACATTTTTGTTCTAAAAAATCGGTAACACAGGAAATGACAATCAGTGGTAAGGTCTAGCTGCTTTCATTCCAACCAATCACGATTCAGCATCACATAAATATCGCTCAGCCGAGATGCTATTTCTCATCCCATTAGTTTTGGTTCTTACATCTCCTTTATTAATCAGCTTTACGTAACATTAAGTTGCATTCTTTAAAACCCTAAATAGTAATAATGCATTCAACGTTAGTAGATCACTAACACAAGTACTAAGGACTTGAAGTTAGTTGCTACAGGATCTTTGAGAGTCTGTCTCTCGTACAATAACATTATTTGAACAAAAAAGTAACAAGCAGCATAGAAGACGTTGTTTTATTCTCTGTTCATACAAGTGTACAAGGTTCATCTAACCAACGTGTTATGTAAAATGTATGTGGCTATTTCGCGTATGCAGAAGTAGTCACAGCGAACGTGTCGATGTACTTCGGCTGCCAGTAGGTGGCGTTAGGAGTAGGCGTGCGTGGTCGCGCGACACGTTCGTTATTCGTTAGCTCCGAGTCCGGTGAGTACGTTCTCTCAGCTTTCCCGTCGTATCACGGTGTCGCGAGCGCGTCTGTCGTCGACGCTCGCGGTGTCCGTCGATTTAATCTAATCTGCATTGGGGAAAATTCAATTCTGCGTGCGCCAGTACCAGCCGCGAGTGTTGTGTTTCGCGGAGCGTGCGTGGCGTGCAACGAGTAATCGTCAAAGGATCGGGCCGGGTTTTCGGGGCGAGAGAACGGCCAGTTAGTCGGTCGGGTGCGAGAGACGAGCGAGGCACACGGGTGCATATAGACAGAGAAGGAGGAAACAGTGCACGAGCGAGGCACGCAGTAGTACGCGGAACCGAGCGAGACAGAGGACGGAACGAAATAGCGAAAGAGAGAAGAGGCTAGAAGTGTGTCGGGCCAGTACATCGAGGACCGTAGCTGGGAAATCTTGGTTTTCCTCTTCGTGCGGCCGGATCGAAGGGCGCGCGGGTGTGGACGGAGTTGCCGAAAGGAGAAACCCGCGGTGGAACGGTCGCAAATAAGTAGGAAACGTTACGAGCCATCCACAAGGAAGGGTGTATGTACGAGGCGTGTATCTCGCGCGAGGGAGGAGGCATTGTGTCCACCGAACGAGAGTGCGAGAAAGAGACGGTGCGCGGTGCCGTGTAAACATACACATCCGATCGCCGTGAGTGCGTACGCGAGTGGCAATCAGCGACGACTTAACGGCCGTCGCCGTCGACGTCGTCGTCGGGGAGGATCATCGAGATCGCTGAAGCTGTGTCGTCGGCATCTCCTCGTGTTCGACGAGGAGAAGACGTTGATCGCGTCCGTGGTGTAAGCGTGGAAAAAATCGGTGGAAGTTAACGGCTCCGGGTGCCGTGCGTCGTGTGTGTATCAATCGCCGCGGTGTGTTTGACACGCGTATGAACCTTCATCACAAATGACAGTCTACCGGACGAGAAGGGAAGTCGAGTGCTGGCTGGATTCGTCTGTCTAGCGGGCAAAGCGGTATGTGTAATTTTATTCAACGGTACATTTTAGTGGACTCTTCTGTAAAAATGGCTCCTGACGCCTCTTCTTGTCTTCCTACATGTATACGTGTATTATACATATATACGTATACATCGCTCACTCCCACTATCTCGGTTCTCGTCCGTACCCTAATTTCTCAGTGATTCTCCAAATAATTATTTACTTATTCATTGTTATATCAAAACTTAATAGGGAGTTACAGATATTTTTATCTCAGATATTGCCAAGTAAATGTCATGGATTACGGACTTGACAATTATTAATTGCCTCTGTTTTAAAAGATCGTCTTCGTCATCTCAGATATTCTATTTTATAAGCAGCGTACCGGAAGTTCGATACCGTGCGATGCGCACAACTCGAGTGCATATGACTCGAAACATTCATGGTATCATTTAAGAAGATGCATTCTTCGTAGACATTTTTCATATTATGTAAACATTGCAATAGACATTTCTTTAATATTTTGTTTATTTTTCTTCATATTCGCTGCTAGTACAATATTTCTATAAACGCATAAAATCCGCTGTCTGTTCATTAACAAACAGTCACGATCTACTCTGAACGCGATATAACAGCAGATCGCGTAAGTAGTAGTAAGTACTTGCCGAACAAGTTACATTTTAAGAAAAAATACTTTCACATTCTTCGTAAGTCTACATTCCGCCGTATCCATTTCCTACCGGTACTTAGCTCGACTCGACCTTGAAACGTCAGCGTTAAACAAATAGGCTGTAAACTTTCAAATGTTTCCTGTAAAATGCGTGTCACGTGTTTCACTTTATCCGTCCACCAATCGCGTTACACAATTCGATGGATCTATGCCGGATGACATAGATCACGATCTCCTCCTTTCTTCAATGTAACAGAATTTCTAAAAAAAAAAAGAGAGAACTGATATATGTACACATACATCACAGACGCCTGTTTAGTATACTCGTGAAAGTATTTTGCTCCGCTTTGCAGAAACTAGTGCAAAGTTGCTAGTAGAGAAGCGGATCAAAAAGTTGTATTCTATTTCTCCTCTAAGCTCAGCTATAATCATTTAGCGATGATCTGTGAATTAAGATAGTCGTCGCTCTATGATAAAATTTGCAAGTTTTTACTGACTTCTCAAATACAAAATGGTCAATCGATCGTCGGTTTTACATTCGTATTCTTTTGATACCTATATTAATTTTCAATACTTCTGACTTAGGCAACGACTAACTTTTGTATAATATGCTGAAAGATGTTTTATTGAAATAAGACTATCAACTTCGACGTTGCATAAAATTGATGCGGGAGTGCTTTCTGATCTTGTTCTTAAAGAAGACGAGGGTCGCTCTTGTTACCAACTCCTCATTGATGATCCGGATTAAATAGGACGCGCTCAAAAAGTGGTCCGAGGAAGGAGAAGTAGTGGGAGAGAAAGAATCGCGAGGCCGCCGATATTATCGGCAGGTTAACGAACCGGGAGCTCTCTGAAATGTTAATGTCTTATTACGTCACGTTCGTTTACCGTGGTCAGAGAAAGGGGTGAAAGAGACGAAAGGAAAGGGAGGAGAAAAGAGTACGGGACGACTAAAAATGGCGTGGCGTGGTATACCATCGTCTCACGGATACAGATTACAGAATCTCTCTTCTACTTGAATCCTTCTTCTTCTTCTTCTTCTTCTTCTTCTTCTTCTTCTTCTTCTTCTTCTTCTTCTTCTTCTTCTTCCTCCTCCGATGTTTCAACGTCATCTCTCTTTCCCCGGATATTGTGGAATGCACGCATGCACTTCGTCGCATTGCACCCGTGAAATTGTCTCGCTCTCGAGCGTCGTGGTCGCGAGCGAAGAAACATTCTAATCGTTCTTAATTGTTCTCGCCTCGAGTAACTCGCAGACAATAGGAATAGAGGTATTGTGTATCAGTAAACGACTAAGGCCCGAATTTATAGTCGTTCCTCAGCTTTCAGTTCTCAACTGCTTCTTGCATATCTATGCGTTTCGTGATACACGATTGATGAAAGTCGAGAATATATTTTTAAACGTTTTATTTCATTATTCATTAACACTTTTTAAAATTTTATTGAGTCTACCACAATGACCGAAGACACTGAACATGTGGGTTTATGTTGTCCGAAACAAAATATTTAAATATATCCTCGATTTTCATCAATCCTGTATCACGGAACACCTAGATATGCAAATAAGTTGAGAACTGAGAAACGACTATAAATTTGGGCCTTAACGTTTCCGCGAAGGACTTTCGAAATCCTCTACGATATGATACTAATCTACGGTTACCATATTTTCCTTTTGTCAAAAAAGAATGAAATGATATTTGGTAAAAAAAGATAAGGACGCATTCTTATAAGTAAATCAGCAGTTTATAAAGTTTTACACATTTGAACAGGAAACGACATAGACCTCATTTTTCGTTATTACTTATGAATATTCTAATTACAACATCTCGGAAGTAAGTCTGTTAATTTAGCCTCACCGCTAAGAACGTGTATGTGTACATATGTTTGCGATTTCACGGTATGTAGGTATAACTCCGTCCGGCATTTTCCGCGTGTCAAAGACTCGAGGAATCCTGGTAACGGGATGCGAGCACTACCTGTTACGCACCCACGGTGATGCGTTTACACTATGCATTACCATAGGTTATCGCCTCTCAAAATCGTGGATACGACGCAGGCTTCTTGTATAAGCATGCACTTACGGCGAGCGCCGTTCTCCTCCCACATTTTTCACGCGACTGTGAAAACAATTTTCGCGAAATAACGATTCTGTTGTGCAATCCGTGTTCTTCCCGTTTTTGCATCCTTCACTTCGCTATTGGAAAGCGTGACCAGTACAGCGAGATTAATGAACTTTGATAATAAAAACATCATTGGGGAATGAAAACTAATTGGGATAAAAAGAAGGACGTTTTTGAAAGTAGGCTGTATTCGAATGAAAATGTGCATTAAATATTTGAAACTATGTGTAGGAAAGTGTATGATATCCTATACTCGTGCTTTCAAATATTATCAATTCGTGTAACGCGGAGCATCTGGTTATCTTTAATAATCGACGATGACTCCTGTTTTGCTGTATAAGGAGATAGTAACGTTGCGTTATCTGATGATATCGCGAGCGATGCACAACCGGTGATAAAAGAGAGGCTTCGGGAAAAGTTGCAACTTTCACGGTACGGCATAGATTATCGCCTGCGAGAAACCGGACGACTGACTGATTAATTCACTCCTGTTGCATTAAACAGTAAATGTAGATAGCACGTACGTCGTCTAACGTGTAATTCATTGACACAGGTGGACGTGCCGAGTCGTTGGCATTTCAGATATCGATAGAGATTCAAATTCATAGGAAGATCTGACGAGGAACCTGTCCCGATCATGAGAAAAACTCTCGTGCTGACCCGGGATTTTCATGTTCTCTCGTATCTTCTAATGTTAACGAGTTTCATCGACGAAACTTGTTTCCCCTGAAGGGATTACGGACTAATGTAATTTTTTCCTCGAGTGTCCGGCGAATCGCTCTGTAGGTCTGTAGTCCGTTTGCACGACTTCTGACTAATCGAGGATCCTGGAAATCAGTTTATCGTACCCCCGCGAAATGCGATCTTGCCTCGTTTAAGTCGCAGCCTCGTGATGGGGTCTTCTATTTTTAATTGATGTCACAACCTATGCAGGGTGATTCTGCATAAAAATAAATCCTACTCGACTTACTTTCATTCTGTAGCATCATCCGTATGAATGATTCACGAATCGTACAAAATTCACTGATTCATCCATTGAATATTCAGTCTTCGATATTTTCAAATTCGGGTAGGAGGCGTGTTTATCATTCTACCGATGCGTATCCCGGCGAAACGGTATCGCCGGCTGTAATAGCATTCCGTAGATTTCTCCGTGGAAGCGTAAATACCGCGTCCTTGCGGTGAAGTTGTCTTCGAATCCTAATTGAATTACTTTGGATAATCCTACGTGCGATTCTGCCAGCATGGTCGGATTAAACATCTCCGTTGCCACGTATTTAAATCCAATTTACCCATCTTTGTGTTTCTACCTTTCCGCCGCGTCAGTACATTATAACATAATTGTATACCAATTTAACGAGTTTCCTTTACAATGCATAAAAATGATGTGTCAATGGCTGAGAATCGATAGAGTAAATCGACTGCATTCCACGATTTTTTCTGATTTGCAATCACGAAGCCAGGTCTGCGGTTTCGCTTGCGAACCAGTATTTGCCCAGCAGGTCCGAATATTAATGGAAGTCGCCGTACGTAGATATACATATATTAAAGCAAACGACTACCTCGTTCCACAATTTACTACGAGAACATAAAACCATGGCCTACTTCCGATTTTTTTCTCTTCTAATCACCTGTGCGCGCCTGTTGATCCTGCTTACCCTATAGATACGAAGTCCATTCGAGCATGTTGACTTAGTTTGTTCCAAACCAACTACTTCAATAGCTTTTACTCCAGTTCTGTAGTTACTGTTTGCTAATTTTGACTGACGATCGTACGAGGGTTTCATTCTTTGGTACCGACAAGATTCCAAACAATTTTCAATAGTTCGGATTTCAGCAGGAATTATCTTAATCGTCGAGATAAGCGTCCGATCGCTGAGGAATCTTCACGATTTGTCACTTCCCATCTATGCAACGTTGTCGAGCCTGATAACACGATTACCGTCGCGTCGAGGTCGTCCCCGGCGCGCGGTATCCGATGGGTCACCGTACAAGTTTTATCTTCGGGTTTGATAGGCGTTCCACGCGACTCATTACACTCGGCGCTGAACGGAACCAGGTCAACGGGCGGGCCGACGGAGATACGAGTCGCGCGCAGGTGGATGCCGAAGCGGAGCCCGAACGTAAGGTTGTTATCGGGAAAATGTCAAGTCCAATCAGTCGTGGTGAGAGATATTTCGACGAATCGACGTATTGTTGGGTTTTTTAGCCTCGCTGGTTGAAACGCTTCTTCAAAGTTGATCGCGCGCACAGCATCCGTTCAGTGATACGTGTACGTATTCTCGTACAAAGCCCAGTTCCGGAATATCGGCCGCTCGATAGGTAACCACTGATGAACGTGATAAAATTAACTAGACACGCGGTAGTAGCAAGCTCCATAAGATACCCTTCGGTGGCCCGAAATAGGGGGGGGGGGGAATTGATTTTAAAGGGGGCACGCTTGATCTTGTTTCACTGGCACTGCTAATGCACGTCCGTTCATATGACGTAATGACGGCGCTATAAGCTCTTTTTCTACGGTCTGTTTATGTTATTATTTGCTGAATTATCGATTAGTAGAAAAGAGTAGCTGGATTCGGTGAGCGAACGGACTTGAACCGTTGGACCAGACTTTTCGTCAATTGTGGATTAATTATAGTATCGTTTCGATAAAGGTTTCTGGGTCAACTGAATTATTTCTGTCGCTAAAAATGTAGACCGTATGGGCTCTATTTATTCAACAGACGTCGCAAGGCGGAACAATAGATCGAATCGGTCAAATTAATCGATTAATTAAAAATGTTTGTCGGACGCTCGAGAATCTTTTTACGCAGACCGTTGCCGTTCTAATCGGAGCGAGAAACGCCGTGCCTATTGTGCTCGGCGGTGCGGTAGAAATACACGTGGTGGCAAAGTAACTCGACCAAAAATAATGGTCGACTAACTTTGTAACCTAGGCTGGCCTCAAGAAGAGTCGCAGACCTAACTCCATGCCCGCTTTTCTTAGAACCGGCACTTTTGTCTGCCCGCGAGAGCCCGATTTGACAATGCGAGGAAGTTTTCTGGCACACGTGTGTGCATTCACCGCTGTCACTCGTTCCGGCGAAGAATTTCTCCTACTTTATCTCGAGGCCAGTGCTCGCTCAAAAATTTTCTTAACTGATAACTCGTGGCTGAAGTTTGTCTCGACTTTTGAACAAATATTCGACGTAAAATAAACGCCCCAGTTTCTGTCCACTTGCTTCTTCTTCTTCTTCTTCTATGATCTTAAGTAGAAATTGGGATATTCACTGTACTTGAAGTTAACGAGGTTAAATTCATTTCCTCTTCGAACTTGGTAGAACGAGACTGTGTAATTGTCGAGATAAAATTGTAAGGAATATTTAATTTCAATTCGATGTGCTTACACGTTTTAATTTCAGTTGTATATACGATAAGAATGTGTGTTTCAGTCAGCCTGATACTTAATTTAAGAACGCCGGCATCGTCGAATTAATATAATTAATCGTCGGTTACGTAAAGTCAGTACCGTAATACGGTGTGCAGTAAGAATCTCGACCATCGGGCAATTCTCTCTTTACGTCATTTATTCAGCGAACGAGTAAACAAGCTTGTTAAATCTAGAATCGATGAACTACGAACAGACGTGACTGTGGGGAAAAATAAATTCACTTGTTACACGGACTTGCACGTTCGTGCGTCTATTATATAAGGTGCACGTTAAGGATTATGGAACCGTATCGTTGCGTTACGAAAGGCTCATAACAATACTCTATCGAGCATTACCGAGTTCGTAGGAGTACAATAAGGCAGGTACAGCTTGGGACAATGATTCACGACCGGTTTCTTATTGAAACGTCAGAATCACGTCAAAATCCAGCCACGTCGAGCATTGAAAAAAACGAGGCATGGGGTTTATTACTATTTTCGAGTCTGATCCCCATCGAGGGTCGAAAATCATCGTAATCGACCTGTACCTTAAATATCCTCTTTGATCGTTACGAATTCTCGATCCATTCACTTTTAACCAGCGTTGCGAAAGCGCAGAAAACGCTCTATCAAACGTTTCCGAGTTCATAGAAGCAGTTAGCTTGTTTTGTTTGATTGTTGCCGATCGCGTATATTCTGCACGCGTTGGCCGTTTAATTTTAACCGGCGCGTACTCGTCTTTGTCCGTTCCTTTCATACTTCCGTGCGCCTCAAAGAAAATGTATTTTCGCATCCGTTCCGTTCTCGACGGTACGTAGCATACCCGCATAGCGGTGAATGAGTTCCTGGCCATGTATCATCTCCGCATTGACGCGTGTAGTATGCGAAACGTACAGTCCTGACGTAAACAGGTTTCTTAGCCCGTTGACTCGAAAAGAAACCGGAACCGGCGTGACGTCCGTGCGCCTGCTGACCGACTGGCAAACGACAAATATTCATGACTGATCGTCTTTTGTATCAGGTGACAGGGGCGTATTCAGTGTCGTGAACGTTCACAGGTCAGTGATTTTTATAGCACTGATCTAGGATAATTAAACACAAAGTGCATCGTATGGTATACTCGGTTTACAGCTGCTCGCCTCGCTAAAATAGTTATCGCTCTACCATGTCAGTGGAGATGAGGCTTAAAAATGAATGGTTATAAATATAAGATTTTTTCTGTATTAAAAATCCACGTAAGTATTTTCGAAAACAATTATACACTCGTTGAAGCTGAACGTTGCATCCATCGAGCTTCTCATAGTCGACGTGACAAATGGTAGAACTTACTACTTAACGTTTAGAATAATAGAATTCTGTAACTAGGTGGTCAATAATCTCAAAAAGGATCTATAGCCGGTATTCAGAGGCGTTGCTTATTTTTAAGATCGTCTTAAACATTTTCTATCACTGTCTATCTTGATTTAGACAACAGTTATCTTAATCGGACTGTTCTCTGTCTACAAGTTGAATTGTTAAAACTGGATTATATTTTATATTTTCATCTGCAGATATATGTATAGTGAAATGTACGTTGTCCTGAATAGAAATGTTATTCATATTCTACTAGCCTCAACGTTGTCTGTTATATTCATTATGCACGAATACATATTTCATGTTGCTCGAATTCATTCGTACAGTTCATGTAGCGCGTATCGCGTTATAGTCCATGCCGAAATGTTGCAACGGAATCGTTATGTAAATCTCGATTATTGTATTAATTATAACTCATGCGCGCGAGTGTCCAGAAATAAGCGAAAAAAAGCGGAAGTGTTACGAGACAAAAGCTACGAATGCGAAAATATTATTCAAGGCCGTTCCCTCGATATTTCAGGATTGTATTATCTATCTTTGACTCTCGCAAAATAAATACGACTAGGCTGCGAGTTTTTGTGCGAAATAAAACTTGCAGAGTATCAATTTAAGAAATGATATCTAGTAAGAATATCCTTCAATCGCCAGAGTATGCATTTTGCTGTTGACACTTTATGCACTTTTCTTCACTATGTGTACTCTTTACGCTTTTTACGTAATCAATTCTGCCATAAATGCATAAAGCCGCATGCGACGTAACGTAAGAATGGCGCCTCGATCTCGTTTGAAATGTATTGGACTTGGAGAATTTTTACTGGGGGTAGCGCATCGTTTGTTTGATTTATTAACGATTCAATTTGGACGCAAGTGCGGCCATTACAACTCGAAATCGGGGTCTGGTGCATTCGCATCGAGCTATAAATTATTCACAACCTCTTTTCGTCGAGCCAGTGGTGGCCCCTCGACGTCTACGACAAACGAACGATAAGAAAGCAATTTCGCGTGCAACTGAAACAATCGACGCGGCCACGGATCGTAAATTGCGATCGGATACGTGACCACTTTCCATCGAGAGCAGCCCTTCGCCAATCTGCTGAAAACACTCGTCTCTCGTTTTTGTTTCATTCCGCCGATCGATCGATCGACGGGACCCACTTAATTATTACTTCTACCCCCCGGCTAAAAATAATCGGCGACCCTCTTTCCCGATCCTGCAAAAAACCCGTTGCAGCGGAAAGCGGTCGACCGGCGCGGAGAGCGGGTCGATCGATTTTGCCGCGCCGTACCTCGAACTCCGTTTTCGGCGTTCCGGAAGAGACGCCGGAAGTGTCGGACTCGTTTATCCTTATACGAAGTCGCAGCGGCGGCCACTCCCATAAAGAAGCGGTGCAAAAGTGAGAGTACAGCGTGACAGTGTGTACTTACGCGCGCGTCAACGAGTCGTTCCGGTAGGCGTAGAAATTCATTTCCCGTGTTTGGCGGACAATCGGCTCCGTTCTTGCTCGCGGATGTGCGATGTTCGCACTTGCACGCGCCACGTGCGTATCATTATCACGCTCGCGGTGTTTGAATTGATTCGCCGGACAACGATTTCAACTCGCCCAATTTGTTGGACAGGAAAACGTCCTGTAAACGATGGTAATTGTTTATTGTATGTATTTGGGTTCGAATAGAAAGCTGCGGAACGGTGAAGGGAATTTATGGTTGCGTCAAAGATACGGACAGCTTGGGACAATAAGTAGTTTCTTTAAACCGCTGGACACGTTTAGAGAAAGATCCTAGAGATTCGATTTGACTTTTGAAGTAAAGACGGACAAGCAGACCATTTCATTTGCCATAACCGCTTAAAAGAGTATCGAAACTTGACTAGTTTTTAAATATTGGAATAGAGGGTTTATTCAATAAATACTCAGTAAATTTCATATAAATGACTCGGAAGGACATTTTAATACCTCGACACTCTGAACGTCGTATGGAAAATTGTCGCTTTATTTTCTTCTAACTTTCTGAAGTTGGAGGGAGAACCGTACGGTTCAAAGCTTTGCAGAGTTTCTTTTTAAAGATTCCATTACCCCATTGATTTTTTATTAATGAAATTACTCTGTCCATTCTGGAGTTTCGCGACCAGTCGATCGTGTGCGAAATATAGACCTTTAACATTAAAGAAAAAATTCTAAAAATATTCACGAAATGCGTAATACCGCGCACGGTGCCAGCGGGAGGCAGATGCTTTTCAGCAAGAAGTTTTCACCTTCGTTGAAACGGGACAAGTTTCACCGCAGCACGAGTCGGTCGGCGACCATTCACGGTTTGTTTTCACCGTTTCAGCGACACGAGATGCATCGGAGGGTGGGCTACAGCAATTACGATGGGAAGATCGCCGGCCTGTACGACCTGGAGGAGACACTCGGCCGCGGTCACTTCGCCGTGGTGAAGCTGGCCCGACATGTTTTCACCGGCGAAAAGGTCGCAGTAAAGGTCATCGACAAGAGTAAACTCGACGAGGTCTCGAGAGCGCACCTCTTTCAAGAGGTGAGCATACGCGTTCGCGACCCCCGTACATTTTTTCTCGTCTCGAAGGCGACTGCGTATCCCTCATTCCATTGTTCCTGTCCCTCCCGTGCGCTGCGTGAATGGGAGTACGTCGGACACAAAGCTGCCCGAGAAGGAAAATGGAAACGCGTTCTAATCTCTTCCTTCCTTCCGTTTGCTCGCTCAATAACACCGCCGTGTGCACGGCTCCTCGTATCGCGTTCCACCACGGGATTTTTACTGCGATCTCGCGAGTCTTTCAGACCACTGCTTCCCCTGTCTGATGACGTTCGAGGGGTTCAAGCCGCTGTCGTACGTTTCCCAGACGAACCTCGCCGCTGTCCTTAAAACATCCACGCTCGTTGGAATTGAAATTCCTCGATCGTAGATCGATTTACGTCTCAATCGAAGGATTTCAATCTGTGAAATTCGGTCCACCGTGATTCTGCCATTTATCCATCGGACGAATCAATCGTAATCAGTTTGAAAAGCTCGACAATTGCTGAACGCCCGAGCGGAAGCTCTGCCGCACGGCTCTCCGAGCTGTTGCAGCTGCTTCCTACGATCTCCAGCGTTCCGCGACATTCAGTATTAAATATTAATGACCGATTGCGTAAGATCCGCTCGACGGAATCGCGTAGGAAAGATCTGCGATCCCGCTTCGAACTTGTGGATCTCGTTAAGGTCAACGAGATAATGACGCAAGGGAGAAGGGGGGGAGAGACAGGGTTCGTTGACCAGTCGGCATCAATCGTTTTGCACTACTATAACCGACCTTCCCCTTTTGTCTTCCCTCGCAGGTGAGATGCATGAAGCTGGTGCAGCATCCGAACGTGGTTCGGCTCTACGAGGTGATAGACACCCAGACAAAGCTCTATTTGATCCTGGAGCTCGGCGATGGCGGCGATCTCTACGATTACATCATGCGACACGACAGCGGTCTAAGCGAGGAGGCATGTACTTACTTATTATACGTATTACGTACATGTATATCGTTTCAATTTATTGCACGTAACGAGCCTTGTTCTCCGGAGAAAATGAAGTCATTTTACGCGTTCGGTTCGTGCGGCAACTGTTACTCAATCCACTTTGCGACACTTTTTGCCGTTCTCGGTTCTTTTGATGTCGAATAATGAATTCGAATTTTGTGCCCCTCCGTTTTTTAGAGCATAGTTTTAAATTTATTAACCGATTTTGTATGTCAAGTTCGTAGAAAAATGCAGCTTGAAAATATAGAATGAAACTTCGCAAGGCCCCGGGTCGCGCGAATTGGTCCTTAAATAATGACAAAGCGTTCAAATTTTAAGTGGCTTTTACAAGTGTTTTTTTTATTCTATTTAGCGCATTTCATCAGTCATTAATGGGAAACAGCGCGCGCTATTCAGTCATTACGTGTCCCAGATTTGTTATCACTTTACCCATAACTGTATCTCTGATTCTATTACTAAGAATTATAGAATCGATTAAAATCACTGGCTTCTGAATCATCAACGGGAGTTACTCATTGCCAGCCAGTCAATGGAATGAAAACATGTACAGTACAACCATGCGAAGGGATTCTCGCAGGAACACGACGATTTGTTCGATTCATTCGGTTCATTCAATCGCGGTTGAGTTGCGTTCAATTGAACTGGAAACAGTGGACGCGATAGTCCTTTCGTCGCGATTGATGAAACACCAAGGCCGCGCGCGACGGCCTTTTTGCTCGACGTTCTCTCTTTGACGGGGTTTTTAATCGATCGCAGGTGGCCAGAACGTACTTCCGGCAAATAGTTCGAGCCATATCGTATTGCCATCGGTTGCACGTGGTGCACAGGGACCTGAAACCCGAGAATGTGGTGTTCTTCGAGAAACTCGGCACCGTCAAGCTCACCGATTTCGGATTTAGCAATAGATTCTATCCTGGTCAGAAGCTCGAGACTTCCTGCGGTTCCCTAGCGTATTCGGCGCCGGAAATTCTACTTGGCGATAGTTACGACGCGCCTGCTGTCGGTACGTACCGCATAGTTCATTCATTTTTTGTTTCACATAGCTCGAGGACTTAATTAAAAAGTTTCGGCTACTTCGCTGACCTGTATTACTCGGGAAAGAAAATCACACGTTGACCTATCTACGCATTCCGCTCTGCATTCTTTATCAAGCTAAACGCGGCTATTATCCACGCCGTAAATGGGTGTTAGTAATTTTTCCTGTTCGCGTTTTTCAGATGTTTGGTCGCTAGGTGTCATTTTGTATATGCTAGTATGCGGTCAAGCGCCTTTCCAAGAGGCGAACGACAGCGAGACCTTGACGATGATCATGGATTGCAAATATTCGATCCCGCCGCACGTGTCCGACGGCTGCAAGCGTTTGATCGCGAGGATGCTGGTCAGGGAACCTGAAGGTAGAGCCTCCCTCGAAGAAATACGTGCTGACGCTTGGCTAGCCATCGGGACCGATTCGGACCCGGTTGAAGCATTGCCGTTGGTCTCGAGGCAACAGGTGTCCGACGACCATCACAATCATATAATCACTAAGATGGTTAACGGGAACATTGCCACCAAAGAAGAAATATTGGAGTAAGCGATTTTGTCCAATAGAAGACAATTGTTCAGCCTTCTTGACAAATGAAACATTTAATAATATGCGTGACCTCGTTGCAGGGCCCTCGACAAGAATGAATACAATCACATAACGGCAACGTATTTCTTGTTGGCGGAGAGGAAGCTGCGAACTTATCGCCAGGAACTGGTGCAGAAGTCTCGACCGGAAATTCTCGAAGTCTCGCCCAGGTATATATTTTATTCTAAATCCGAAGACTTATTTAGGACCCTACAGTCAAATTTCGATACAAACACTTCAGTCATTCTTAAGATTTTTATTAACATACAAACAAACGCTTTTTCTTTATATAAGATCGCCAAGGGACATCGTTTATTTATTATTAGTATAATGAACTATAATAAGGCTCGAACATCGATTATTTTCAGCCGACAAGACGACGCTGCCAGCAATATTCGTGCCGAACAAAACTTGTTGAGTACGATCAATCAGTCGTTATTAAGTGTACCACGGACGCCGGGTGACGTGACTCAGGTATGCATTCTATAATTCGAATGAGAACTGTTTAATGACTGGATGACAGACATAAGAATTTTTTTGCATTGTCGTCATTATTATAGAACGTTCGCACGCGGAAGTGCAGCATCGTCCAGGAGGAAGAGGACGAGGATGACGTGTCTTCGTGTTCCGGGCGCGACGACCGCGGCAGCAATTCCGCACTGAATTCATTCAATCGCCGCGGTTCTCGCTCGGAAGGGAAATTGTCACACATCCTACAAGAACGGCTGTCTCAGCTTCCAGAAAAATCGAGCCACAAGCCAATTCCGTCGCAGCGGATCTCGCAGAAGGATGTCAACGTAATTCCTGTGATCGCCGAGGGCGAGGATCGGCTGAAGTCTAGTCCAATGAGCGGAGCCGGCTGCGGTTCCACGCCGTCCGTCCAGCACAAGGCAACGGTCAGACTTCTAGCGGGCAATCAGCTCGTGGAAAGAGTACCTGAAGCAGCGAGACTCGACGCAATCAGTCAGGAGAATATAAAGAACCGTCTGGACGATGGCTCGCCTCCGAGCTGGTCGAGGAAGGGATCTTCGGAGAACCGGCCGAAATCGGTGTCAGAATGTTTGAAGCCAGTGGGACCTATACCACCGAACAAGTGGAGGATGGGAGCGCAGCACCGGTCGCCCAGTTCGTCGTTAGACTCGTCGACGATTGGATCGCCGAAAATATCTAATTCCAGCATAGCGACCACCACGACGACTATATTAACCGAATCGTCGACAGTGACGATTCCACTGCGACCCTTGACCGGGCTTAACGACAGTATACCGCCTAAGTATAAAACTATGCCATCGCCGGGAAGTACTAGTTCGACGTCCACACCGTTGAACGAAATTCTAGAGGACGCTGATGCGTTGCCAGTATCCGGTAGCGAGAGCGGCAGCTCCAAATGCCGCGTAGTGAGGAGGACGGGGTACGAACAGAGGAAGAGCAAGTTTCACAAGACACGTACGACGTCCTGTTCGAGTTCGGACGCTAGCGACGACGATAGCGAGAGCAGGAAGAAGAGAGCACATAAGTTGAGCACCGCGGGCAAATCGATGCCTTCCAGGCGCGACAGTCACGACGATTCTAGCGATTCTCAGGATCCTGGCGGAAGCGGGGGCGGCGAAGGTGGCGGAGGAGGTGGCGTAGGGAACGGAGAACGGACTACGACGGAGACTCCAACTAGTGAGACGGAAAGGAGAAGCAGCGGGGGTAGCGGCACTAATACCTCTACGACTACCACGACGACCGGCGGCAGGCACAGGTGCTCGGAGAATCAAGTTATATTCGGTAGGAGGCATCGCGCGGGTAGAAGAAGAGCCGGAGAAACGCGATTGAGGGAGAGTCAGTCGTTGAACCGCATCACGGAAGTTCAAGAGGCAGAAGCACCGCCGTCTCACAATCACGGGTCTCGTAATTCCGCGGTTCTAGGAGTCCAAAGTATATCTTCTTCGTCGTCGTCCGTGTCTCAGAGCAGTACGGGCTCGCACGGGGTTTCCCAACCTCTATCCCATGCAGCAGCGACCGTTCAAAAGGCTAAAGGCTTCGGCGCGAGGCTCCTTCAGAGTTGGTCCCTCACCACTGGCAAATCGTTGTCTCAATCGTCGAACAAGCAAAACAATTACAGTCCGAATGGCAGGTGTACCAAGCAGCAGGAATCGCAACGTGACACTTGTCAGAGGATCGAGACGTGCTGCGACGATCGGGAAATGAACGGCGGCTCGGTGAATCAGATACCGTCCAATGACAAAGAGAACCGGAATGGCTCAATGAACAGGAATGATTGTAAGAACAGAAAAATCCGGTTGCTCAGTCGGTATTTTGCGGTGCACAAGAAACTGTGTGTGCCGCTGCCCGGGATTTTCGGTAAAGGGCGGCTTTACAAGGCCCGGTCTTGCGGCAGCATCGCTCGGGATCGTGTCAGTCCTCCGTCGCCGAAATCCATGCTGTTTTGCGCCCCGACGGACGACAAATGGCGAGATCGTCGACAGTGGTGCGATGTCAAGCATCAGCACCGCGGCAGCGACGGGGACATCAATCAGAATCTGGGCCTGTCGCACTTGGTCCAAGAGAGCGTGGTCGGAAAGGGTTGCAGCGGGATGCCCAACGTTTGTCACATTCATTTGGGCGACGCGTCCAAGTGTTGTAGCCTTTGTTGATGAATCCGCGCGACGGCCAGGTCGACGCACAAACGCCGACGGAAGAAGGCATCGTGTGTCGAGAATCGTTGACCTGCAGCCCTTGAAATCACGCGGCCCCGTTCTTTCGTGGTCGGGAAATTGCGCAAACAAGCGCCGAGAGACGCGGTTATCGCGAAGTGCAATCAGTTTCATGGCAATCGTATTCGCGCCGCATACGAAGAAACCGAATAGGATGACGCGAGTCGGGATGGATCTTTTGTACGCGTCGCGCGGTAATCGTTAACGATCGCGACCACTTGACCGATTACGCCGGAGATGCGTCACGACGGTCAATGCATTCAATCAATCACGTCACATGTCCTCTCCATTGGATGCTGTACAAGCACAGAACCTAATCCTGTAACCTTCCGAACGCGCGAGAGAGAAAGTGGGATCGATGCAGGTAAGCGTCGCGACAAGAGGGAAGGAGCGAATCGATAGATCTGTTGCTCTGCAGAAAGTGTATCTAGTCCCTATGAACAAACCTATATTAAATATTGCAGAGTTTATTACTATTAATATTATTATTATCGATATTTTATTATTCTTATTAATATTATTTTTGATCATCATTATTATTATTATCATCATTGTCTCAGTTGATACATCGTAGATAGAAATCGACCTGAATCATACGCGAGTAAGCGATCATTAGAATCTCGTAGTTACGGAGAGTATCCCTCCCTTTTTCCTTTACTTATCTATTTGTCACTATACTATTCCTTCACTTGAACTTGTTCCTTTCATCATTTTGATTGCAAATCATCGTACAATTTTTTTCTCACGTATAACGAACCAGTTGTTCGTGTTAAGCAAACGTGGTCTGTTCGAAACAATAGCGGAACTCATTCGTGACGAAGAAAAGCAGCCGCGATATCGTCTTTACATTTGTGTAACACGTTACTCTAATCGATTAAACTTAACCGATGCGGCCGGTGACTATTGTGGTGCTACACGCAAGGATTCGACGAAGAAGTGACTCGTATTTCTCTTTTCGCGTGACGTCCTAGGAGATGAATAATTTAAGATCTGCAAAACGACCGGATCTACTGAAGTGGATGAAAGTTTAGACGGAAAGAGTTCTTCACGATCTAGTCCTTAATTTATATTTATAGAACTCGCGAGTGCATATGAGCAAAGTAACAAGGAAAACTGTCGTAACTTCTGAGTGGGTACAAGGTGCAAGAAACTCTGTCACTCTCTACTAGAACAAGGATAGGAAGTTCTATATAATACTAATCAGACCAAGGCTCTAGAAATCAAACTCGTTCCCACGGAACTGCGAATGAAGAGTAATTCTCCGTGAACGCTCGATGTTCAGATACCAAAGTGACAATACGAATGCTTACGAATTCTTGAAGCTAAAGAAATCGAATCTCCTAGGACAGGTCGACTGATTTGCGATCGCGCGTTTTCTTCTCGTCGATCGATTCAACGAATCTTCTTCGCTCATTGAAACAATTGACAGCGAGTGTCAGCGCGCTTGCCGGCTAAGTGCACCTCGTTCCTCACTCTCACCCTTGTCTTAATCCTCGAACGTCATCGTCATCGTCGTTGCCCAACGTGCGCGTTCGTCTCGTCGCAAAATGCATAATAAAAACGGAAACACGATACATGACGACGATCGATTGCGACGCCGGGAACAATAATCCATGACAGAACACGCGTTCTTTCTTACGTCGATCGATGGAGCTGAGAAACTGAACAGGATGAAACTCACGGACTTTATGTGGGACTCTTATAAATCGTTTGCTGCGAAGATCGAATGCTGGCCATTCGCCTGAATGTTTCCTGAATCCGATATATATGTATATGCAATCGCTTTTCATCCCTCTCCTCCCCCGTTTTTATATACCTGTCGCCGGAATGGGGTAACAAACGGAATGAAATAAAAATTTTTTATTTTCCTTTTTAATAATACACAGCCGTGTAACATATTTCATATTGTCTTTTTATTTGGCGTAATGGGAGTAAAAGTTTATTGGACGTCTTTGAAAAAGTCGTCCCGGGTGTTGTTTTATGGGTGCATTGATACTAACGACGTACTAATTCTATTTAAGCGGTTGATGTTTCAAAGACAAGAGTTAATAAGTAGTAACGCTGAATAGATGTTTGCTATAGCCGTGAGTCAATGTCTACAATTCTACAGATTCTACATCATCACAGTAGCATAGCACGTTTACAACATTTTGAACATATCTGTAATAAACATTCCTTGGATGCACACAATGTCTTCAGCTATGATACGCTACGAAACTATTGTTGTTGATACATAAAATTGCATTGCTCGGTAAAATGAATGCAGTCGAATTAAATGACAGAATTCGCAACGGCATTTAATATCGGAACAGGGACCAGGTCATCACAGTCCGGAATTCGTCGCAGCGCTTTCTCAATCTATTGTCTAGGATAAAATATTAGAGTAGAGACGATTGTAATAAAATTTACATTTTTACTCGAGATTAGTGTCGGTAAACGAATCCAATATCTGTTCTGTTAGTATCAATGATCGACCCAGGATGAACCGTCGCATCACAAGTTCCTTCCCCGTACGGATTTAAGCAATCCTTCACTTTTCCAAAGCAATATCCAAGAGATTTATGTGGTTATATGAAAATACATGCCCTCGATTCTTGTATGGTTTCCCATCAACGGCGACGTTCCATGTCCCCCAAGTGAACCGAGAATGCTTTTGTACCTAAATGCGTACGACAGGTATACGAATCCACGCGTAGAACTGTACGTACCGAGCCAGAAATGTTTCTAGTGTAACGCAATTTATTTATTATACACCCTGCGGAGAGGAAGGTCGAGCGAGATAGAGTGAGTGCGCGAGAGGAAGATAGACGATCCTTTTCAATCGTGACTGCCGACGATCGTCGACCCCTTTGTCGCTTTTTCCTCTGTTAACCCTCGTGTCGTCGCCACGGGAACGAGATCCTTTGCTTCCTCGACAAAGACTGAGCAAATTGTACAATAAAAAAAAAAGAAATCTCCATTATCGCTTGGATGCCTTGTGTCGTACGATGACGATGACTCGGCGAGACCAAAAAAGGAAGCAACGTGGAAAACGAGAAGACGAATCATACTCGGGACAATTATTGTTCGAACGACTTTGCGTTCTTCGTACATACCGTAGCGTGACACGCTGTCGTGCACCTAAATCCTGGGTGAATTTCTGGTTTAAAAACGTTCGAGTTTTTGCTATTTAGCTGCAGCAATGTGGAATCAAGAGTGACGTGCTTCGTTGCCGGGCATTAATGGGTCGCGGTAGTGAATTCAAAGCTTGACCAATTAACCATCACACACTTTCCTCCTCGAGTCACAATCGTCGGATTATATACTTATCTCCGTTCGGTTCGATTAATTTTTACGCTAGTGCTGAACCTTCGCGAGCGCGTGTCACATTAAATACTGAAACGAATTCCATTGATTGTACGCCTACTGCAGCTGCAAAGTAACCCAAGCGTTACAGATATCTGTGCCGTTCCGCGACAAAACGCGGATGCTGTCTATAATAGATAAGAGATATTTTCATGTTGTACCTAAATGAATCCAATTAGCGACGCGGTCGATCCCAAGGATTGTACAAAAGGAGACGAGAGACAAAAAAAGAGATGAGTCAATAAGGAGGGATCCCGGTCGGAAGAGTCGCGTCGTGAAAGAAACGTCGCTTCATTAAAAGCGTCGTTTCAACGTTAATTCTCGTTACGCTAGTCCAGTCGAAAGAGTTGTCTCGGACAACGCTACGCATATAGAGTACAACGTCCCGCGGTGATTTTTGTATTAAGTGAACGAAGTATACCCCTGCCCTCCCCTTTTTTCCACCGACACTGTAAACACGTATTCGTACACATGTATCTATTAAAAAAGAATATCCCCGTATCTCGGATTTAAATGAGAACGAAAACGCGGAACGATAAAATAGAGTATATATATATATAAATAAATAAATGTAACGGGTATACATGTACACTTGAAAAAGGTCACAAATGTGTTTCATCATTTTCATTGCGATTACCATATATTATCATGTTATATTATATAAATATCGTGACGCGTCAACGTATAGATCCATTTTTGCACGCACCGGCGGCGCCCGCGGCGTGTGCCCGGTGCGCATAATCATCCATGCAATAAACTGTGTGCCCGAAACGAATAAAATGAAAAAGTAACAAGAGTCTCTTCTGACACCATCTCTGCTTTCTCCCATGCCGATTTCCCCCCCTTTCCTTCTTGAGTAAAAAACTAGTCATTCTAAAAGCAAATCTCTCTCTTCTATCTTGTCATTTCAATTTCTTTTCATTTTTAATGAAACAGAACCTTTCGATTGAAGCAAACGCTGAAAAAACCGAGGTTCATTGTTTCGTTAACTTTAAAGTGAAGGAGAGATTTGGCATTCTTTCCTAATTACTGGCCTGTCTCAGGGTAAAGAACGTTAGCAAGGAGGAGCGCGCTCGGAACGATCTATAATAGCGGAGTCGACGGCCTTGAGTGACCAACATTTTTAGCCTAGTCGATACAGGATGCTCGGGGAGATGTGAGATGTGTCTCATAAAACTCGAGCTCCCTATTTAATACGACGAGCGTTACACAAAATACAAGTTTTTATTAAATATATAATACTTGGTATATATCATCCCTAGCGCGAGTTAAAGCTGTAAACACATTTCTATCGTTGTACTCTGTCGCGAACGATCGATCATCGCAGAAGTCAGGGCGTGCGATGCGACGCGTGTCATCAATGCGTCGTCGGGTAGTTGCGGTTTCGCGTGGAAAAATATATGTATACACGTATGTACATATTGTAGGATACACGCGTCGGTCGACGCGACTGCAATTACATACTCGGACGGTCGTGCCTTAACGTCACCATCATTACGGTTCCGCCTCGCATCATAATCTTTCGATCAATTCTCAGTCTGCTGGCAGCCGTTCAGACAGCTCTTGGCAGCGGGTTTCCACGTCGAACACGCTCCAAGACGTTCCGCTTGCAACATCACCTGCGCCCAGCGCAAACCTCGAAACGCTTCGGTTGAAAACGGTTTTGCAACAAAGACCTCGGAACAGCTGCGAAACTATTGCGGATATTTAACGAAAACGGGAATTACGTTCTAACTCTTTTCAAACGGCAGACCATCCGAACGCTGTTCGTTATTTATAACGATTATAATACAAACAATATAATATATTACCAACGCGAGTAAATGCATAAGAACGATTAGTGGACGTCGTTGAAAGTCAGTACGATCACTTTGTGTAAAAACAATCGATAGTGCGATCGCAAGGAAACCGGAATGTTAACAATAGTTTGTTCGTATATACTACTATATACCGAGCTGGCTGCAAAAGTCGCAGCTGGTATTTATTAATAGCCTGCGTTTCGTGGAACACAAACTTCTTTGATAACGATGGCTCGATCTCATTCGTAATCTAGAAATAACATCGTTCTGTTTGTTCTTCTTTAGGGAAGAACACGGCTTTGTACACGCATACTGCGTTCACTGTTACAAAGTACAGTGTACAGTGTCGCGCGAAAATCGTTCTGTAATCTGTTTTTAATATTACAGTTTTCTTTACGTAATACTGTACGCGTATTTAAAAATTGGTACACAGAAGCCCACAGTGTTTAAAAAAATTCACGTGTTCCACAGCAGGGAGAAACTATTTAACACAATAATGACGTTCATTCGCCAGTCATTTCCGCGTGTCACAATGATCTCGGAGGGATTTTAAAAAGTTCTTTGCAATCATTTTTAACGAGGTTTACAAGACTGCCGTTACGTCTGGGCAGTGGGCGGCTCTTGATTGAGATATCGAAGCGCCTTCTTACTGTTCTCAACGAATTCCTGAAATAAAGAGGAATTTTAATATAAGAAAGTTGTCGTGGAAAATGTATTTATCGACGGGAAGGGGAGAGATCGATTACCATTAACCCGCGACTCATGAAATAAGGTCTGCTTATACCATCGTTCTTCTCGCAGTCTTCGCAGAAGCAAAGGAATATGGTGTCGATGATCATCTGCACATAATTATAAATTATAGATCTCGAAAAATTATTCCTGTCTATTTATGTCTCACGGACACACTCGTAAAAATTACCTCATAGATCGAGATGAAACAATGCGCCACCACGTAAGCGAAGATTGCAGCCAACGTTATCGGTACCCAAGGATATTGAAGTCCTTCCTTCTTCTGAACATATAAACCGATTAACAGACGTATAATCCAGAGATAGTAAATATCGTAATAGGGCGTCGACGTACCTGGAGCAGATAAATTCCTGTGACAACAGTCAACGTGACTACTAGTACTTTTCCTAAGAACAACACGAAGTCACCGACGCTGTTAATCGCGGCGACCCTCAGGATGTTACTGGATAAAGCTTGGAACGCTTTCCTGCCGCCCGTGCAAAAGTTACATCCATATATAGCTGAAAATCGTTGAGACAAGAATTAACATCTTTCAAAATGGATCAACTCGTTTTACCGAGAAACTGGAAGAATTTTATACCTGTTTCGATATAAGCGTTTCTGGTGAGGAACTTTAGAGCGCATTCGAAACACCAAAGGCAACACTGACAGCACCACAATATCCCGCGCACGAGATCGTTGTCGTAACGCTTCAAACGATTTTGTACAAAGGAGATAATGGCCCTTACAAATCGAACAAAGCCGATGATCAGCGCGCCGAACGCAACCGTGCCCAAGTGATACCACACTAGGTACCCGAACCCGCGTACCACAGGCAGAGAAAGTTGTCTCTTGTCCCTGTTTAAACAAATTTCTCATTGTCAATGTGCTAAAATTTTTATGAAAAATCAAACGAAACCGTATAAAATTTCCAACATAGTCTAAAAACGTATTTTATATCTGCATGGAAGTATATCGAGATTTTTACGTAATAAAAACATTAGCCCAGCTTCGTGAGAAATGGAATATGGAAATACTTTTTGCACGCCGGGAAAGCAATTAACATGCAGATCTTGAAGTATCGATGAAACAAGAGCATCACCTGGTGAAGAACCAACGCGCGACAGAGAGGGCAACGACCATGTGCTGGCAGCCTATGAGGAACTCGCAGGTGACGAAGAAGAAAAACAGATTGTACCATCTCGTCGCCTGTAAAATTCTGTCTGTGTCCAACTGTTCCGAAGACTACGAAATTAATCGATCAGATTACTTACGATTACGACGGTGTCCTTCCTCCAATGTACATGATTCTTTGTGTTCAGGTAAATATTCCCTGAACTTTCTATCCAAAGCATGCAGTAAATCCAGGCACACACGGTCAGGCCGATCAAGAGATAAGTCTGAAAAGGAATTTCATATTCCCGTAGAAAAAATTTATTTAAATCTGTCTGCTTATACAAAGAATATATGGATTATGAAACTATTTTTAGGAGCAAGAGAATGGTAACTCGAATTTTAACATAAAGATAAGCTATCTCTTTCCTATCTACAACGCAGATGCGTTAGAAAACCGCATAGATTCGATATCGAATAGATAAACGCAAAGATAAGAATCGTACTGTATTTAAAAAAACGGAAATCTGAAGACAAGGAAAATTGTCTATCTCAGAATTTTTATCACGATATATCTTTAGTGCCTCAGAGCGCTTATCAAAATGTACTGAAAATAATTCAGTTAGACGGAAAACCGTGTTGTCTCTACGTATACTATCTACTATCAAATATTTACGTATATAGGCTGAAGAAGAAGGACTGGCATCGAGTAGACGGCCTTTCCCGCTTCACGGAACAGCTGCATTACCAGGGCGATTCTTTTCCTCATCACCAGCACGATCAAAAGCGTGATCACCTGCAAATTGCATATAATTAACAGTATCAATATTGTTTCATCTCATCAGATAATTTTCACACTTCCTTCTCTCCAAGAATATATTTTTCTTTACCATACGTTAAACAGCTTTTCGATAATAAAACAATTTTGAGAAGTTTCTTAAAGCAGAATGATGTTTTACCGTAACGACGGTCAGTATAATTGCGTAGATAAGGTAAGCCTGAACACTCGAATCCTCCTCGGCTATTTCGTGCGAATCCACCGCTTTTCTCTCTTTGTGCCACGCGAGCCTAAGGAACGAGAAAAAATAATGATTGGCATCATTTGTCCTACGTTCGATCGCGTTCGGAGATATGTGTAGAAGTTTACCAGAGATACGTTGAACCACCGATACCTGCCAGAATTGCACCGATCAGTACAATATAAACGACCCATTGCACCATGAAACGGAAGGCAATTAAGATACTAAGAGAAAATGCTGCAAATGGAAAGGGAAAAGTGAGATTAAGTAAAAAATGAAATTGAGGAATAAATGAAATGCATACCGAGGGCAATTAGTAATAAGTAGATCAATTCTCTCCAAGCGACACTGAGGTCCATGGAGACTTCCTGAAAAACCAGGAATCGAAATTAAGAAAATGGATTAAATCGCACAATTTCCGAAAACGACTCTTCTCTCATTCAGTATTGCTTTTGTAGAAATCTGTCGTATTTCATTTTATAAATGTACAAACCTTGTAAAAGTTTTCCAAGCCCAGACTTTTGATCACAGAAGAAACAGTGTCATGGATATCTCTAGGCATACATCGATTCAGGAACACCATATCACTGTGTAAAACGATATAAAAACAATTGATTAATCACGTGCTAATCGTTAGAATTAAAAGAACAAGGTAAAAGTAGGAAGTTTTATTATAACTTGTTTTATGCTCAATTCGTAATAATCCCTGTACCACGAAATTGAAATTAATTCCGCGCAAGGTACACGCTGCCAGTTTCAGAGCATAACATATCTCTACCGTAGGCATACCATATGACATTTTCGTTGAATCGTGAAATTCGACCGAAACCCTTAATTTTCGCGCAACGGAGAACAAGCCCGTTTCCCGTAACCGGAACTGACTCGAATACATACGTATATCGTGCATCATAGAATACTAACTGATCGGTGCAGTTGGTCACGCAGTCGCGCGTTCTCTTCCCTTTCTGGTCCACGATCATCCTCAAATACCTGTGGGAAATGAATAATGAATGAACCAACCATTGATGTTAATGAATCGGTCAACGCGGGAGATATCGTATGGAAATTGGAAATTTCCTGAGATTTTCTTCTACGCCGCGAATTTATGTGAATGCAACGCTCGCGTTAATTAGCCGCATTATTTCAAGCGACTAAGTTCCCCGTCGAGAATTCTCAGGGTACAAACAATTCCACAGAAAGGATGGTTTTAATTGGTTCAGACTTAGTCAGTCTATACACTCTCGATCGCAAACATAGAATGGCTCCTGTTAATATTCGGACAGAACTTTTTTTGTACATAGTAAATATCCCAATTTCTGTTCAAAAAGAATTCCTGCTCACTGATTTATGATTCAGTATAAAATAATAGAACCAACAGCGAGTAGAAATAGTGACGTGAAGAGAAATTAGATCATTTCCTATACACGTTCAGTTTGATTTCTTATCTTATTCTCAGCACTGTCTTCTGATAATTGTACTTATGAACGGGAGTGTACATATGTGCATACATGTGCTCACGGGGACACCTCGACCGTGGAAATTGTTAACCGATAACGGGTCGCGAAATTATTTCATTCATTCGTTCCGCGCGTTGTCGACGATATAGAATTCGGTGTTGTTATCGGGCATGAAATTCCGCGCTAATTCGTCGACGAATTATTAATCCTTTGGGGGGCGACTGGAACTTGTTTTACAGGAAGTTCGAAATAGCGCTCGAGCTCGTCCACGGAAGCTGGTACATGGATATTTCGCCGAATTGTTGCTGCACGGATTATCGTTAATGTTTATGAGCGCGGGATGGATTGGAAGCTGGCGGCGGGAGGGAAATAGTTGGTATTAATTTGGTTGCCCGTGTTTGGGAAACGTGTGAAAGTGTCCGATGAACGATTTTACCATCGCAGCAAGGGAATGTAGTTAACGTAAATTGAGAGAGTGCAAACGTATTTCTGATGCTACAATTTTTCGTCAATGAGAATGTAACAATGTAGAATTCTAGCTAAATGAAATTGCTACACGTACACGCGGCAATTCGATGATAAGAAGGAAATTGAAATTAATCGGCTCGAATGAAATTCCGCACGAATTCCGATTTACATTATTCCTCTTATCGAAAAACTCTCGTATAACTAATCTCATACTCTATTAATTCATACGCTACGAACAAACGTTTGTTCGTCGCGTAATTCTTGCCGATTGCTTCCGAATTAAGTCCCGGTCAATTTTTCACCGTATCCGCCCGCAACAATTCAAACAATGGGCCGTTTCAATGTTTCGCGCCCGCGCGCATCGATCAACGACCAGCGTTGTGCTTACCGCTCTTTCGTCTTGTCGGTGTTCTTGCATTTCGGTTCGTGATTAATTTTATGGTCAACGTTCACACGACCGCAAACGTTCCCGCAGTCATCGTAGCCATTTATAACGCGGTAAATGTCCCCCTTCTTCACCACCATGCCAACCAGGACACTCTGCAACCCATCCGTCGCGCGAACGCGAAAATATACTATCACTTTAGAGTTCGAAACGTCGGATAGGAACAGAAAGAAAAACATACAAAGCCAATGGCCAGGCCGAGTAGGATGATCAAGGTAATAATGTCGGTGCACGATCGGTCAGTGACGAAGACCTGTTCTGACCGTCTTGGCGATCCTTCGTGTTCCGGTGTCTGAAACGGAAATACATGAAAATAGACAACAGTTTTCCGTCAAGCTTCACTTTTTCAGGAATTAACTCTTCGGTGATTAAATTAAATTTCCTTTCTCGGGTAAAGGCGATGGGTTATTAACTGCTTCATGAAAAACAGGTTATTAAACTGTATAGAGATATTAGGTTCCCTATTAGATCCGAGAGAGAGTTTAATATTTGCTGGGAATGTTTTAATAGATGTTTTAATAGAAAAATGATAAGCGACAGGGAGCTTCACTTTGTTGCTTTATGATTTTTAGAAAAATTGATTAGGCAGTTAGTCGGGAGAGTTCGAGAAACTAGGTCAGTGAAAGAAGCAAGGAACGAGTATTATTCATAGAAATATTTAAAGTTTTTTACATCAACGATTGACGATTTTGTAGTTTGAACATTTCGCGTTAACTTCCGATGATTATTTTTAAATTGTAACAAAGGTAAAAGGCGATGAGTTCTGTTTACCTCACGTTATTAAAGAGTAATTAGATCACGTTAATCACGAGACGAGCGCAAACGTGTTTTCACATTTTAATGTAACTCTCATTCAATGGACGTCATTAAAGGATATTAAGTTTCGAGCGATAAGCACAAAAATTTAGTATCCATTGTGTACGTCTCGATGTTCGAATAATATTAGAATTTTACATTTTCGCGCTGGCCATTTTTCACAATAAAGTACTCGAACTCGAACGTCTTTTCGCGAAACGATGGAAAACGTCGAATCTATTGGCCGCGGTCAGCATTCCAGTAAATTTTCAACGAACAGGGTGAAATCGAGCGTAGCTAAATCGCTTTCAGCGAATCCGCGTCGCGTTCCCAGGGATACAGGGGACCCTGTAACACTGTTACGGTGGAGGGGGGTTCCACATCACTCCCCTAAATTAATTAGAATGTTCGACGGTGACCTTGCATTAGCGTGCCGTTCGTAATTAAATTTCTCTTTCTCTCTTCCTCTTTACGTCTTATTAGAAGCACGCCATTAAGTTGCCATTGATAACATCATCGCGAGTCTTCCCGTCGCTTCTTGTTCACGTTTTCGTCTTGTCTTATTAATTAATCCAAACGTCGGTTCTCCATTTAGTTAAAAAATGATTTATGGAATGTAATACAAAAAAAATGAGACGAAACGGATCTGCAAAGTTTGCGATGTATCTATTTGCTTTTTAATAACTTTCATCGTTAGCTGAACATTCAGATTAAATTTGGCGATAATAAAAAAATATTTGAAATTCTAGTGACTTTTATTAATTTATAGGAATTCAGTGAACAAGGTTACTTGTTTACTGCAACTTCGTAGTTTTTCCGATATGATAACAAATGTGGATACACTGATCCGATTTTGAATAGAAGCTGAATCACGATCTGTTTTATAGGGATTCGCCTATTTTCCTTTATCAGAGTCTTTCTATGTAGAACAAAAAAAGCCAAATTGAGATTTAAATTGTGCGGACTTAATCAAGAATTTATTACGTTTGAACATATTCAGCATCAAGAAGATATTTTTACTTTTATCAGAATGATTCGCTGGAAGGCCAAAAGGCGCGCTGTTTATTAATGCAATCATTTCATAAAGTTCTATTTTTTTCATTTTCCTGTGAATTAAAACGGGAAATTTCATAAAGGAACTTTGTTTAAAGAATGGCCGCCTAGGAACTCGTTTAGCAC